AAAGCTCAAAATTTAAGCCATACCATCTGAATCACTTCATAGATATTTTGAAGTCAAAACTTTCCGATCAAGAATGCATCTTCCTCGCCTCCATAAGCTGGCTTCACATTCTCCCCAGTCATAGGACTAACACATTCCCAGCCAGCATACCATAGAGTTCAAATGCCATCTGCAAAAGCATGAAATAGAGTAGGAAGAGTATATACAACACATTTAATTAGGAATGCTCAGCGAAAAAATCAGTGTATTATCAAAATCAAGCATGCTAATTAACCATCTGTACTAAAATGCTAATTTTGTAAGGAAAACAATATCAATCGACATTTTCTCATCAAGAACATATACACAAGTTTCCCCTTAAAATAAAATAAAAATTATTAGTGTGCTTGCAAGTTATTAGCTTCTTACTTCTTAGCAGAAATACAAACAACAAAAGAATGAAACTTTCAATGATAAAGTTTGACAGTAAAGCATAATATTAGCACTGGCGGAAAAGCATAAAAAAAAAAAAACAAGAATCGCGCACAAACTATGGAAGACTTGCACAAAGAAACATACATGATGATAAAATGTAGCAGAGACACTCCGACATGAATCTCAAGTTCGCTGCTTCACCCCAAGATTAGAAGATAGCTTGCGCTGTTGCATTTCCTGCTGTATAGTTGGCAACCCACAAGTAGAGCATACATTAAAACATATTCTCGACACCAGAGTTTGCTAAAACATTTAGCCACAAACAAAAAAATTTTAATTCCTGCTCATGAAAAATACACAGAAACTCTTAGTTACTTTTGAATATAATATTTTTTCGAGTCAGTTCCTAAAATTTCTGTTTATGATCATATTCTAAGCTACTCCTGCAGAAACTATATATAATTGAGTATAGATGTCTACAACTCCCTTACCAAATACTACTCTTTCGACTATTTCTTATAGTTGTTGAAAAGTTTCTTCATCACTTCTATCAATGCTTGATCATCCAACTGTGAGAGCACAAACAAACAGTGGGTAAAGTGTTGCTTCTATTGTACTTTTTAGTTTGAATTTTATTATCCTCTTTCGATTTCAGTAAAGATTAACAAAAAAAAATTGGGGTTATTCAAAAAGATTTTGCTAGTTGCAGAGAAACTTACTGTTCTTGTAATTCCAATAATCACTATCAATCAATCATAATTATCTTAGATAATGATATGACAATTAGGTTTTTCAAAGGTAAACACCAACCAAGATTCAACGCCAACAAAGTAAGACTTGTAAACTTACATATATCATCAACTTTTCAAACTGATACAATCCAGCGAAGACTCACATACATGCATCTTTAAGCAAGTCCAGTACCTGTCAAAGAAACAAGTAGACCAATTGAGAGATCAAGATTCATGTTTCCATGTGAGCTTTGTCCTAACAAAACAGATCAACCAGGAATCCAAGCTGTTTCAATAGAATTAACTGACCGAACAGCCTGACTAATGAGACTACTAGAGCTAATTAAGATGCTGCATCTTTACGATCGGAAGCTTGAATGGACAGACTCATTAAGAGCTAACTATTTTGCCTAACCGACCGATCTAACTGCCCTAGATGACTCCCGTTTCCTGATATACTTTGTTTTGCCTAAACGAGTAACGGCCTTCTTTTATATATGGAGGGTTCAGCTACCTATAGTAACTTATTGACTTACTTAACCAGAGGATCAACTGTGTAAAACCATTCAATAATTCTTTAATAGTAATTTACCTTCTCAAAACAATGAGCTCCACCCTAATACAGGTCTGGATCGTATTTGTTGCACATTAGCTTAACCTGAAAATTTAATGAAAGAAGTTCTGAGATCTCCAAAAAGAAAGAACAACAACAACAAACACCAATGGTATTATCATAACATCAAAATTCATCAATAAAGGATATTAATTTCAACTCTCCAAAGACTAAGCACATCTCAATTTTCAAAATCTAACCACATAATTTTTTTGTAGAATCTTGAATAATTACTCTTTCTTGTACCTTTGTTTTGCTCATCCATTGCAAGAATAAAATTAAATTCTCTGAAATTAGCTGCCTCATGACTCGGTCTGGTTAATGATGTTATCACTCAATCCGGCGAAGTTTCGCAGCACTTTTCATTCTTGGATCAGCCATATCTCACAAATCAAAAGTGAATCAGAAACATGAACTGAAAAGTCTCAATAGCTCTTGACGATTCTTCCTTCTTCTTCTGATGAACTCTAATTTTGCTGTTCTTTATCTACAATTAGTTTCAGTTAAACATTAAACAATCTTATATAAAATAAAAGGTTATTATTAAAGACGAAAATGGCATAAGGGTTTCTAACCTCCTACATCGATTCCCATCTCTGAAGCTCTCATCATCTCTGATCCTCCAAGATTTGATATACCCCGCATTCTCCTATCTTCCAGTTGTCATTACCGCCTATCTTCCGGTTGTCATTATTGGGTGATGTGAACTGAAAGAGAAGCTCGGTGGAAGTCACATCCTCTGCTTCAACTTCAAATGTGTAGATATGCTCTCTTAAAACTGGATATATAAGATAATTTCTTGGTGTACACCGAACTTCGAAATCATTCTGTTTGTCCATGATTTCAATCCATATAGAACGATTATCATCACCAGTTTCTTCATTAGTTTTAAGCAGCATGATGCAAGCCTTAAATCTCAAAGATTTAGGAAGAGGCGACTCATTCAACTTGATTGTCAATAAACCTCCAGCAGTAGCTCGGTGATTGAAGCAGGCAGGCACTTGTGTACTTGGTAACACCGCATATCTAGAAGTGGATGTGTGCATGATGAGATCTCTGGCTTCTTGTTTCAATTTGAAGCAGTTGCTGAAGTTCAAACGGATCTCCGGATTGTTAAAGGAACAATCCAGTGTCTCAAGGGATTGACAATTGTCAGCATCTATGTAAGATAGAGAATCTGAAAATTGGGGGAGGGATACCAGATTCTTGCAGTTTTGGAGTCTAAGTACTCTTAAACGAGACATTCCCTTGACACATGGAGGAACTTCTTGTATATCTTCGTTCAACTGCAGCTCTGTGATGATGTCAAGAGCATGTGGGAATTCCTTGAGGCTTTCAAAGTATGACATACTGAAATCATAAAGACGAGACCACGACATGATCGACAAAGGAACTTCTTTTATTGATGTTCCTGTGAGCAACAGATACGTAATGTGTGTGGAGATCTCAGGAAAACTTTTCAACTGCGAGCAATCTGTGAGATCAAGAAAAAAGAGAGATTTCAAGTTGATGTTGGTTGGAAGAGCCTCTACCTTTGAGCATCCTCTCATTTTCAAATAAGACAATAGCTGAAGGTTCCCTATGGAAGAAGGAAGCTCCACCATATTTGAGCAATTAGATAGATCCAAATCTTTGAGATTAGTGAGATCTCCAAGAGAGGACGGGACATTCACGAGACTTGAGCATCCGCTAACATACAATTTCTTCAGATTTGTGGCAGTTCCAATAGAAGGAGGTAGCTCTAGTAGACTTGAGAAATTACTGAGATTCAATAGGTCAAGTTTAGTGGCATTGATAAAAGACGGGAGTTTCACAAGACGGGAGCAATTTGCAAGTTCCAGTTCCTCCAGTTTAGTTGCATTCTCTATAGAGGGAAGCTCCACAAGATTTAAGCAATCAACGAGATTTAATTTCTGGAGATTGGTCAAATTCCCAATAGAAGAAGGGATTTTCACCAGCTTTGAGCATCCAGAGAGATTTAGTTCCCGGAGATTGGTTGCATTCCCAATAGAAGAAGGGATTTTCACCAGCTTTGAGCATTCCGAGAGATTTACTTCCCGGAGATTGGTTGCATTCCCAATAGAAGAAGGAAGCTTCCTTAAACTCTCACACCAAGTGAGATTTAACTCTTCAAGATTAATTGCGGTCGAAAGATCGGGAAGCTCTTTCAGATCTTCAGAAAAAGACAAATCCATCCACTTGAGATTTTTAAGTTGCTGCATTGACACAATAAGAAAATGATGACAGGATTGGTTTATAAAGCTGGAGTTTGTTAAACATTATATATTTTTACTGATACAAATTAATGAGATTATAAAAATATAAAAAATGGTTTTGAAAATTGAATTTTTTAAATCAAAATTACTTACTTTAGTTCCTTTCCATAGCTTCTTAAGCTTGCTATCCCTCATACATAGTTCGACGAGAGACTCCGAATTAAAACTAGATCGCAAACATTTACTTTCGAAACCACTCCAATCCAGTAATCTAATCTTTTGAGAATGATACAAAAGTGAGTGCAGTCTCTCAAACTGAGAAAGACACTCACCCTTGATTCTTATGATTTCGAGATCTGACAATCTTTTAAGTGCTTTCTTACTTATCTTCATTTTCTTCTCAGTCATAGATAAATTCATGCCTATAAACCGTCTATCATCCTGAAAAAAGAGCCAAAACAAGAACAAAAGATTAGTAGATATATAACATAGTTAGTTATCAAATAAACTCAATTGTAAGGCAAAAAACTTACAGTTGTATCATTACTAAGCACTTCAGAGATATCTCTTTTATCAGTCAAAAGCTGATATTTCGAAAACTGATCGTGGACGAATTGCTTACGAGAAGTTTCTCTTCCGAATTGTGCTAGCACATCATGCATATGTATATATCCCGTTGTATAGTCAAAAGATATGAAAGATTTCTCAGCTAAGACAAGAATACCAGCTTTCGTGACATACAAGAACTTCTTTGAAAGAATCTCTTCCACTTTATGTTGATCTTCATTGTTGAAAAAGCAGGCTATATAAAGAAATAAATATTTATATTCATCATCTAAGGCCTCATAACTGAACTTTAGAATGCTCTCTATTTCTCCATTAAGGCTGGTCTTTAACATTGGTAGTGTCATTTCCCACTCTGCCTTGGGCTTTCCTTTCAAAGTGGAGCCTAGAATCTTCAGTCCCAAAGGGAGTTTACCAGCAAGGTTTGCAACTTCCCTAGCAAGTTCATCGAAGCCATCATCAGGGCGCTTGTGTCCAAAGGCATGCATACAAAAGATTTGAAAAGCCTCCTCACTTAATGGAAATTCCACGTCGTAAATATGACTTATCCCATGGGCGTTCAAAACTCCTCGATCTTCTGTTGTGATTATAATCCGACTTCCAGAACCAAACCACTGATTTTTTTCCGCCAAGACTTGTAGCTGACTTAAGCAATCCACATCATCAAGAACGAGTAACACTTTCTTGTCTTTCAACCGTTCTTGTGCCACTCCTAGATGAGGAATCATATTATCTTTAAGATTTATAGTC